AGGTCCCTACTCCTCTCAGTGGCAGACAGCCATGGACACAGAGATGGCATCCTGGAAGTCCACAGGCACTTACGTCGACAAGGTTCCCCCTCCTGGGGCGAACATTGTCGATGGCATGTGGATTTTCAGGGTGAAGCGGCCAACGGGTTCTCCGCCTGCCTTCAAGGCTCGTTACGTTGCACGAGGCTTTAGTCAGCGACAGGGAGTTGACTTCTTCCAGACCTTCTCCCCTACCCCGAAGGTGACCACTCTTCGGGTGTTGCTGCACGTTGCTGCTCAGCGTGACTACGAGCTTCACTCTCTTGACTTCATCACAGCTTTCGTACAGGGCACTCTGCACGAGGAGATCTGGCTGCGCCGCCCACCTGGCTTCACTGGGTCGTTTCCCGCAGGTACCCAGTGGAGCCTCCGGCGGCCAGTCTACGGTCTCCGCCAGGCGCCTCGTGAGTAGCACGACACACTGAGGACGACACTTGCGGCTCTTGGGTTTGCTCCTTCGACTGCTGACCCGTCACTGTTTCTGCGCACCGACACTTCGCTGCCGCCGTTCTACATCCTCGTGTACGTCGACGACTTGGTATTTGCCACTGCTGACACTCAGGTACTGGCCCTTGTGAAGTCGGAGCTGCAGAAGAGACACACGTGCACAGACCTGGGTGAGCTGCGCTGCTATCTTGGCTTGCAGATCACTCGGGACAGAGCACGGCGCACCATCACCCTGACTCAGTCACACATGGTGCAGCAGGTCCTTCAGCGCTTCGGCTTCCGGTTCTCCTCGCCACAGTCCACTCCTCTGCCTACAGGTCACTCTCTCTCAGCTCCACCTTCAGACGAGTCCGTAGAGCCGAGTGGCCCGTATCCAGAGCTTGTGGGCTGCCTCATGTACCTGATGACCTGCACTCGACCTGACCTTGCCTACCCTCTTAGCATCCTGGCGCGCTACGTTGCGCACGGGAGACACCGACCAGAGCACTGGGAGGCCGCTAAGAAGGTGTTGCGCTACTTGTGCAGTACGTCAGGCATGGGGCTCGTGCTTGGAGGACTGGGTCCAGTTGTCCTCACTGGACACGCAGACGCTTCTTGTGTTGACGACTTGGCTACGCAGCGGTTGTCACAGGGTTACACCTTCAGCCTTGGCTCCGGCTCTGTTTCTTGGCGGTCTACCTGCTCGTCTTCTGTTCTCATCTCCAGTTGTGAGGCAGAGATCTACGCAGGGGCCATGGCTGCACAGGAGTTACGCTGGCTCACCTACCTGCTGACCGACTTGGGAGAGCGGCCTCGTTCTCCTCCAGTTCTGTACGTAGACAACAAGGCCATGATTTCCTTGTGTCAGGAGCACAGACTGGAGCACAGGACGAAGCACATAGTTCTGCGTTACTTCCTTGCTCAAGAGTTACAACAGCGTGGTCAGCTTCGTCTTGCTTATGTGGCCACTCGGGCCAACACTGTTGATGTCTTCACCAAGGCCCTTGGGTCTGGTGATGATCAGCGTTTCTGTACTGCTTTAGGCCTTCTGTCTGCTTCCTCTCACTTGCTCACTGCTTGACTTTGCCTGTAATGTGATCTATATATACATACCCGCATGCTGTCACTTGCTAGGTTGTGATTACTGTCCTGCTTGTTCTCTTTTATATAACTCTGCATGTGAACTGGCCTTGTTGCCATTTGCTTGTGCTCAGAGTGCGTGGTGATTTTGTGATCCACCCTGAGCTTGCTTTGCAGTTCTTGACTTGTCTTGTGACCTCTTGTTCTCCCCCACTTTGCCTATGGGGGTGTGTCAAACTATGATGTTAGACCATATAGGGTACAACCCAATTAGGGTTAGTACTTGTACCACATTTCTGTTCAATGCAATCATTCCTGTTCGTTATATTCTGACAAAAACTAGGTAAACAAAACGGAAAAACAGAGTATGATAAAACAAAGAAGTAGTTTCATCAACTTCTGGTCAACATCGGTATCTAAATCTAGACAAAGAATCCACTCTCAACTAGAATGAGCTTAAGAATAGAGAGAATAAGGCTTACCTTCATTTGAGTTATAGCATGAGTGGTGTGAGTGGCGTGAGTGGAGTGAGGGACGGGAGGAGCTAGAGTAATCCGAGTAGCTGGAAGAGAAACGGAGCATAAATACATTTCACGAAACCCTAGGAAGGGACATTTTTCACCGCATTACGATACTAGTTAATGACGACTCTGAAACCTTAGAGCATGTTTAACACAGCAGTATCGAAGTCGCGGTTCATCGCGAAGGTCGGGAGTTCGAATCTAGTCGTTCACAGAATGCGCCAAAATCTTTGACAGGTCGGATGTCGGTTCCGGAACAGGTCGGGCTGTCGGGGCGGTGTTCTGGCGCGCGATGCCTGTCGTGGCAGGCACGAACTTGCAAAGGAGGCTGAAATGGAAGGCGTCATGTATACGTCAGTCGTCGGGTAGCACTAGCTTCGCGGTGACAGGTGTCACCATCTGGATGATGCGAAAAGGCCCACAAAATCGTGGCCGTAGCTTGTTCGAGCCGGGTAGGCGTAGGTTTTTTGTGTCGAAGAGCACTAGTTGCCCAGACGACATGATCATTTCCCGTCGCAGGAGATCCGTGTATTTCCGGGCAGTAGTATTAGCCTTGCGAATTGCGTCGGCTGCTTTCTCGCGAATCTCCTGAAGTTTTGTCACAAATGTTTGTAACCGTGGGACCAGGTTGTCAAATGTAGTCATGGTTTGCACCACCGGGTCCATCCCGTAATTCAGGAAGAACGGGGAGTGAATATTCGTGCTAGACGGTGCGTTGTTGAACGCGAACTCCAGCATGGCGAGCGAAGTTTCCCAGCGAGCGGGGTCGGGGCAATTTGTCCTGATCAGCTGCTCCATCGTCTGATTGGTCCGCTCGGTCTGGCCGTCGGTTTGCGGGTGGTATGCCAATGAGAACTGTAGTTTCGTGATGTACTGCGCCCGTGTCTCCTTCCAAAACTTCGAAGAGAACTTCGGGTCCCTGTCGCTGATGATCGCCGATGGGATTCCGTGCAGTCACACGACAGTTGAGATGAAGAGGCGCGCAGTTTCTTCGGCTGTGATTGTTGTACGACACGGTGCGAAGTGCGCCATTTTCGTGAGGCGATCGACGACGACGAGTACATTGTCATTGCCGGACGGCCCAGCTGGCAGCCCCGTGACGAAATCCATCGTCACCTGTTGCCAAGGTCGCTCGGGTGGCTCTAGGGGTTGCAGCAATCCAGTTGGCCGCTGACGCGTCGATTTCATGGCTTGGCACTTCCTGCATGAGGACACATATCGCTGCACGTCGTTAGAAGCTTCAGCCCCAGTAATACTGACGGTGCCACAGCTTCTGGGTTTTATCAACCCCGAAATGTTCGGAGAGGTTGGAATCGTGGACTTCCTGGATAAGGAGTTCACGCAGCAGCCGGTAAGCGGGAACCCAAATCCTGTCAGTTCCGGCTTTTAGGTAATAATTCCCCTTCTGCGTCGTCGCCCGCTGGTGATTTCCAGTCGTGAAGAACGGGTCCGTAGTGTAGCCGTGGGTGAATAGTCCCGTAAGTAGCGGGTTCGAATGGGTGATGAGTACTGCAGCAGATTGAACTGTCAGGCGGGTAAGGGCGTCGGTGATGTTATTCGCCCCTTTCTTGTACGTGATGCGGTAGGTGAAGCGGCTCTCCATGTAATCGAGCCACCGAACTTGTCGCGAATTGAGGTTGGGTTGAGCTCGCAGGTACTGTAGGGACTTGTGATCCGTGCGAGCAGTGACGTCGGCGCCCGCCAAGTAGCAGCGCCATAGTTTGAACGCGTGTATAATAGCGAGCATCTCCTTGTCGTGTATCGGGTAGTTGCGCTCGGCTGACTGCAGCTTGCGTGATTCGTAGGCGATCGGCTGCAGCCCGTTCCCGAAATATTGGAGAAGCATAGCTCCGATGGCGAAATCTGAGGCGTCGGAGATAACTTCGAACGGCTTGTCGTTCCTATTCGGGCGACACACGAATTGCTCAACAGAGTCAACGCGGGGAAAATAGCTTCGGAAAGGCAGGCAATTGGAGGTTCGGAAAACTTCTGAAACCCTTTTGGGGGCTGGGCTTTAACATATAAAATACCGGATTTTTAATTAGCGACGGACTGCACACTCTACCTAGTTCGCAGAGTAAATTCAAACCCTAATTTCATGTAACGCGTACGAGGCCTGGGATGAATCTCATCAACATGCTTCACCTCCACTCCACCTGCACCAACCCAAACGACCACCAGCCAAGCCTTCCCCCAGCCCAGCATTTCGTCCGCAAGAACGAAAAGGACACCCGCATGCAGAGATCCCCCCTCACATCCTCCCTTCCCTACGCCTGTCCAGGTGCGTCTTCGGCAAGCTTATCCACTCCACCAAAAACTCCAGCCCAAAACAAAAAAAAAACGGCGCATCTGGCAGCAAAGTGTATCTCATTCCCTGACAAAAACGTTTGAAGCTTACTTATTCGGGCAACAAATTTATCAAAATATCGATAGTGTTTGGTGCTTTTATGGAACACACGAAACCCTGCACCAGCTGCTGCCTTTTGTTTCTGCCTGGTCGTGCTCCACGTTTGTTTCTGAAAACCACACTTCTTCCTGCAACCCTTCCAACTGCGACGTTGCCAACGGTGTCTCGGTCACTACAGGATCCATCCTACGCCCTGCTTTTCGTCACTGGCTTTCCGGTAGCGCAGCTTTCCGTCACCGCGTCAAATTAAAGAACCCAATGCGCTCTATCGGATCGATACTGTCCTCCCGCTCCGCTACAGAGCACGCGTCACTCGCTTTCGACGTAATAAACATTATCGTGTAGCTTACCTATGTTTGCATCTCTTCAACCGCCTTTCCACGACATTGTCTGTCCTTGAAACCCTCCACCTTCGCCGCGACTCGCGCTGCGACGCCGCATTGAATGACCTGCCAGCAAAGCACGCCTCGAGCACGCCAGGGGTACTAACTTGTGACTGTACGCCGTGTGACTGCTTGGGGTTTCAAATGGTGGACCCACAGAGGAGCGACAGCGACGGGGCGGCCGAGCTGAGAGAACACGACGATGGGCAGAGCCTGTTGGGCCGCGCGGACTCAGACGCCGCCACTTGCGGCTGCATTCCCGTCATGCGCGCCGTGGCCGGCGCGAGGGATGTCGCGAGGCATTCTGGCGCGGACAGCGGCCCATCAGACGGTGGCGCGAGAGACGGCGAATCGTCTCACGCTCGGACGCCGGATCTCGAACCCGCGGTTTCATCAGATTGCGAGATGCCGCGAGACGCGGCGGCTGCAGGAGCAGACAGAGCATCGGATTCACCGCGCGCGCGACCGCAGCGGTTGGATGATCCGCTGAGGAACGCCGCGGAGATCGATGGGTGCTCTGTGGGCGTCACTCTCGAGCCGCCTTCGCACGACGACTCGGTTGCCGCGGAGCCGAAGCCTCCCGTGGCGAAGCTTCCTCGAATGTCCATTGGCGAGGTGCGTTCACCAACTCTCAGGGTTTTTGGGAAAGCGCATGGCCGCGTCGTCCCTCGTTTCCTCTCGTGCGATGCGAATTTGCGTCATGCGTTCGCCATTCGTTCTCGTTCCACCCCACCTCCCTCTTCCGCCGTCGCATCTTCCCGCCACGGTCCTCATGCTTTCCCCGCCTCCTGCTGCACCAGCCACCAAGCAATCCTCTTCCTCTTTCTCCCTTTCCCTTCACGTTCCTCCTCCCCTTCCCCCTTTCCCTCCTTCCCCCCATCCAGCTCTCCGTCACGACATACAGCTACATCAGCCACCGCGCGTTCGTGCGAGAGCTGCTCTGCTCCTGCTGCTCGCGCCACGCAACCACATGCGCTGCTCGCACCGGCCGTCACTGTAACGGGTGTGACTGTAGCAGTGGCAGCAGCACGAGGCACGGCGGCAGCAGCAGCAGCAGGTTGGCGGGATGGGCGGAGGTGGCTTTGGATCGAGTGAGCATCGTGGCGCATCTGACCACTTTCTCCTTCCTCGGGGTGAGTGCATGGCGCAATGGTAGCGCTGCGTTGGCGAGCGAATGGCGCATGTGGGGCATGTGAGCAGCAGTGTGTTGCGCTGTAGGACAGCGTTCGCTGTGCAGTCTGTCATGAGCGCCATCCCTTTGCTCCTCCCTCCCCCATCTTCTTTCCTCCCTCCCCGACCCCCCTTCCTCTCCCTCAGGTCGCAGTGCAGCACGGCATGGACCTGCTGTTTGGCCCCGAGGTGGCACACGTGACTTAAAAGAATTCTCTTACTGCCTCCACGCCCTCTCCCACTCTCCCTCAGGTCGCAGTGCAGCACGGCATGGACCTGCTGTTTGGCCCCGAGGTGGCGCATGTGACGAGCAACCAGCAGGCCATCTTCATCGACCTGCCCGCCAACATGGTGAGCGCAGCCACAAGCACAAGGCTCCACAGCTTGCGCTGGACACACCTCACCTCGTCTGCTCGGCTCGTCGGCTTCACCTTGTCAGCTAGGCCCGTCAGCTAGGCTCGTCAGCTAGGCTCGTCAGCTAGGCTCGTCAGCTAGGCTCGTCAGCTAGGCTCGTCAGCTCGGCTCGTCAGGTCAGGTCGCCACAAGGTCGATCCAGCTGCCCTGGCCTGTCCCAAGTCGAGCATAGCTGGCTCATCAATCTGGGTGCCAGCTTCTTGGCACGCTCCAACTGGCATGAATAAGCCGGTTTTCGGCTCGTTGACGGATTGTTGTCAAGCCTAACTTCCCACCCCACCCTCTACCAATCCCACCCACCCACGCCAGCTGGGCTGCTTCCTGCTGGGCATGCTGGGGGTGGTGTTCCTACCGGCGCTGCTCACACACTCGCGGCACCTGGCGATAGGGCTGGTGGTGGGGCTGTGCGGCAGCATCTCCACCTGCGCCACGTGGAACCAGCGCATGCTCGCCATCGCCACGGCCGGCCTCTGGGTCCGCGCCCTCTTCGGCTACTACGCAGGTCAGCAATCGTTTCTCGGGCCTTTCAATTGCTCCCGAGGGCCTTTTAGTTGCCCCCATGGCCTGCATCCTCTATTGGGGCATCTCCATCTCTGTCACATGGCATGGCACTCGCCCATAACCGCTATTGCTCCCACTGGGTTATGAGTCCGGGCCTGTTTAGGATACTTAGCTTGCAGATCAGAGGTGCTTTACGCCACCACTACATCGCCACTTCCTAGTGCCAAATAGTTGCAGGAAAGCAACGGGTTTTGCAAATCCAGAAAATCCACCTTCTCCCCCCTTGCCCCCTGTGCTGCTGCTCCCATCCACCAGGGTCCGTGCTGCCCATCATCTCCGTCGTCGCAGGGGCAGACACCGCCCACAACCTCTGCTCTCTCCACTCCTACCTCTCTCCCCGCTCCCCGTCCCCACACTCCTCACCCTCCCCTTCTCTCCTTCCAACCGCCAACCCCACACCACCTTATACCTCCTCTCCTTCCCGTCGCCCATCCCCCTCACAACCCACCTCCCCGCCCTTCTCCCCATCATCATTACCTGCCCGCCGCCACCTCATCCCCATGCTGCTGTGCGCACTTTCCCTCTGGGGGGCGGCCATCACGGGGGCAGTGCTCGCCGCCGCACACAGCGCCAGCCTGCAGGCCTTCTGCCTCGCCTGCGCGCTCGCCCCCCTCGGCACCTGCCTGCGCTGGTCCCTGCTGCCCCTCAACGGGGCTGGCCTTGGCACTTGGTTCCCTAGGGCGATTGGGAGGTGGAAGGGGGTGAGTGGAGCGGTGGGGAGGAAGGGTGCAGGGAAGCCGGAGGGGGGTACGGAGGCGGTTGCGTGGATGCCGTGGGGGACCCTTACAGCCAACGTGGGGGCCGCTGCTTTGGAAGCTGCGATCTCCGTGGCGTATCTTGCGGTATGTACCTACCATGCGTGCCTCTCTTGATTTGATGCCTGCACAGCGACTCGGATTGTTGAGCTAGGTCCACACGGTGTTTGACCTCTGCCTGCGCCTGAGTTTTGCGCACTCGTTTGTGGCACACATGCAGGTCAAGACACATGCTTCGCAAGTCATTGTGGGGGGAGTGCAGCTGGGGTTCCTGACAGGGCTCAGCACAGTGTCCATGTTCTCCCTCGAGATTCTCTACTTCCACTACACCCTTGGGACCCCGTGGCGCTCGTACGTGTACATCCTTAGTACCATTCTGCCGTCGTTTCTTATTGGCATCTTGGTTTATTCTGTTCCTGTCTGGATTATGGGATGGGATTCACTTTACAACCATGTATAGCCGCTGAGATGCTGCAGCGTCTGTTTTTCATTCGTGTGTTATTGCTGTCAGTTAATGTATGTATTTCTCCCGGAAGCACCTAATTCTTTCTAGTTATTCTGAGATGTTGCAAGAAGGGGATACACGTGCGTAGGGTTTCGGCTTTATATCGTCTTGCTCAGTGGATGGCTGAACCTTGCAAGGGAGGTCGTGTTCACGCGAGGGCTTGTATGGAAGATCGGCTGGAATATCGTTCCACCTTCAGGTCTTGTGTCACCGATGCGATGGGATAGCACAGCGCAGGCAATCGCATCTGGCCGGAAATCTTCAGGATCAAATGCGCGAAAAGTCGCAACTCTTCATTGAAAATGTACCTAGCTAAACACGCCCTAGAATGACCGACGAACGGACGTCTCCCTGTGCTTGGGACCGCATGTTGCGCCGTCGACAGCCGTACGGATCTGCTCTGCAGCTTCCAATATATCTCTCGCCATGAGAAGCGCATCACACGGCCGTCAGCCTCAAGGAACGTCCTATGAACGCAGATGGCACAAAAAATGGTTTGTCCTCGCAATTATACTTCTTTCCGCGACGACAAAGGTATGTGTCGCCCTGGTTGACAAAGAACTAGTCCTCCCTGACTTGTGCTTGGGTTGGGACCGCGCGCCGTCAAGAGCAGCACACATGCTCTGCAGCCTCCAATAATCTCTCCCCCATGAAGCCCGCATAGGTAACAGGCAACTTCCCGGAACAATTTACTGCTTGCTCCCCGGCGCCTCGATAATTGCCGACGTCGAGCTGAAGCCGCCGCTACTCCCCGCCGCATCGCGCGTTATGGCGTATATAAACACCCGCATTCGTTCATTCACATCATCCCACACACTCAGAGCATCATTACCGCTTGCTGAGATTCGTACACCCTCCTGCCTGCTCACTTCAGTCTTACTGCCTACTCGCAACCCAGTTCCACTCTGAGCAATCCCCTCTCCTCGCGCTTCAATGGCTCTTCGCGTTTTCGCAGCCCTCGCGACGCTCGTCGCAGCGCTCGCCGTCCTTGCTCCCGCTAGTGCCACCACGTACCGATCCACGTTCAGCGACGGAATTAACTCCGGCGGCGGCGCGTGCTACTACGAGGGCAACTTCCGCGACTCGGAATATTTCTACAAAGGGCTGACCGCGTACCTGCCCCAAAATAAGTACGACGGCGGCAAGGGCTGCGGCACGTGCTACGAGATCGAGTGCAAGAACCACAAGAGCTGCCGAAGCGGCAGCGTGATCGTGCGCGCGACCGGCCGGCACGGCGACGACCAATTCCTCCTCGCCTCCACCGCGTGGGACAAAATCGTCCGCGGCCGCGACGCGGGAAACGTGGAGATTAAGTTCCGCAGCGTCGACTGCCCGAAGAACGGCGACATCGGGGTGAAGATCATGCCCGGGACGAACCAGTACTGGTTCGCGGTTCAGATTCTGGGCGCCGCGAAAGCCGGCGGCGTCGAGGGCGTGGAACTATCGAAGGACGGCAAGAAGTGGAGCAAGATGAAGCGGCTTGCGGAGAGCGCCACATGGGCCTTGGATCCCGCGAAGGAGATCGTGGATGCGGGGAAGAAGGTGAGCGTGCGCGTGACGGCGGTGGGCGGCGCGCGCGTGGAACTGAAGGACGTCATTCCCGAGAAGTGGACCGTTGGGAACACGTACAAGAGCAGCACCAACTTCTAGCTGCCCCTGGATTAGCTTATAGCGGTCCGCGAATAAAGCGCCGTTAGAATCTCGACGCTAGAACAGAAATCTCTGCACAGGTATTTGTTCCGAGCGACGGTCGCACCACAATTGCGGTCAGGAAGTGTTCAATCTGGCACCCTGGCTCGCTGAATAATAGGCGCTTCTAATCAGTCAGTGTTTTTATGGGGTATATATAACAGGGGGGTAGTTGGGGGCAGGCGAGGGGAGCATTTTCGGGCGGGAAACTACGCGGCTGGGACGGTAGCACTACCGAGTTCGGCCGCCCCACGGTAGCGTGTCCCAGCGCTACCGAGTGGAATAAACCCTAGAAAACGTATCAGTAACCAGACGCGGGACGATCGCTCATTGGCCGTTGCTCCCTCGATTTTTCACGGGGAAACCATCGGGGGAAAGTCTTGCGTGCACGTGGCGTTTTCGTACCGGGTATTCATTTCACGTCCTGCTTCGTGGCTTTAGGTGATTCGCGAACACGAGGGAAAAACGAGATGCCTGCACGTGGCGGGAATTATTTAACCAGGCAAGACGCGTGGAAGCTCATAATTCGCGCACGAAATAAACACGACGAAAGTGCGAACCTCGTGAAGTCACGTCCCCGAGACAGTCAACCTCGGTTTAACCGTGCGTCGCTGGTAACAAAATTAATAATTATGTGTCCTTGGAAGTACCTGGGAACCCACTTGCGAGAAGTCCTTGGAAACCCCCCGCGTTCATGGAACCCGAGATTTTTTCGCGGATGCTTACTTGCGGGTACTTCCCGCGGGAATGCTTGCGGGTGTTTTTCCGCGGAAAATTTTCGCGGGTTTTCTCGCAGGTATATTCTCGTGTATCATGAGTTTTTCCCGCTTTGTTTCTTGCAGGGATTCGGAAATTTCACGTGAGTAATGCACGGGAATATCACAGATTTGCGGGAAATTCAGTGCGATGTGTACGTGTTTTTTTTTGCATTCTTTTCAAAGGGGGGTTTCTCGCGGGAAACAATAAGGTATGTTCGCGGGTTCTGCACGCGGGGAACAAAGGAACAAGCGCTTCGTGGGCAAGAACAAGTAATAATGACTAAACGCGGTGGAATCCACGAGATATTTTGCGGATTTACTTCACGCATGGTTGGGTTCAGTTTGATATTTCGTTTCAAAATCTGCGGTTAGTGCAGTTTTCGAGGATTTCCCACAAAATGTGACTTGCCACTGTGCACAACACTAGCATGCACGCGGGATTTGTGAAATTATATACTGTGTGGGCGTGAATTCGTCTGTGAATTGCATATTTATTAACTGCTTGGTCTGTGAAATCGCTGATTCACAGCCCGGAAAACGCGAAATTATTTAAGGTGGGGACTTTGACCCGCTACTGTGCACAACACTAGCATGCACGCGGAACGGACTACGAGGGCAAGTTTTCATTTCTGCACCGGAAATCAGTCTGTTGTGGTGAAATTAGTTTGTGTATGACAGTCAATTGTACACGCGGGGCATTCCCGCACGCACGACAGTCAGTGACATGTTTTTTTCTGGGTGCGTAAACGCGCCTAATTCTCGCACAGGCGTCATCTGCTGTAAATAAAACCGAGTTCTCAACAACCCCTTCCGACAGCTGGGTGAGTACGTGCGGCTGCTGACACGCGTAAACATTTCGCGAACTTCCGCTGCTGTGTTTCCGCGGACTTTCTCGCGGAACAGAGACGCGGGAATTTCTCGCTGTGTTGCGCTGCTCTTGTCTCACAGAGGCGCGGTACAGAGGCGCGGTACATAGGCGCGGAACCCGCTTCGTGAGGCGCTGTCACAGGCGCGGAACCCCCACTTTCGCTTATTTTTTCCGCGCGCTGGCAACACCTGCTGAGTCGGATGGGCTCCCACGCCTGTCCGCGGGCTGGGAACTGCGTCAGGCGGGATTTCCCCATTTTTGCCCCGAAAAACAGTCTGTACTGTACACGAACTTCACTCGCGCCTCTGTACACGCGGGCCATTCTTGCATGCGCAAGTCAGTGGCATTTTTTATTTCGCGTCACTCCCTGCCCATTCTTACACCCGCCTGCGTCCGCACTGAGTTGAGGCAAAAATTGCGCGGGCAGAGTTATCAACGATTCCTTCCGTCGAAATGGTATTCAGTACACGCGGGTGCAAAGACAAGGGCGGGTGCATTATCGTTTTTTAATCGTGTGTGTCTCGCAGGCTGATATGTGTGTTTTTCTCCCGCGTAGGACGATCGCGTGTTGATTTTTGTTTTTTCAGGGTTATTAGTTTCAAGGGAACAACACGGAGGCACAAAGCAGGGAGAGAACAGAAGCGATCGCAGCAAGGGGTGTGGCTCGCGGGGTGCCCTTTTGCGTTCCCCCGCGTGTATTCCGTGGGGTGCTCCGCGCGTTCCACAGGGGGGCTGGTGAGGCTGGCCCGGTGGTCCCTGGCCACGTCACGCGGGGAGCGTGCTGCGTCAGGAGGTCCCCGAGCCAGCTCGAAGACCCCGAGCTGAGTCAGCCTGCTTCCCGCCCACGACAGGCTGGCGAGGTCGGTTCCGGGCGGTTCAGTGCAGCACGCGGGCTCTCGCGTGCAGGGAGCTCGGAGCCCGGTAGCGCTACCGAGGCCGCTACCGGGCGACTACCGTTTTCGGAAGTGAAATGTATTGATGATGTTCCACGTTGTGTGCCCATTCCTGCTTGGAGATCCTTGTTTTTCAATGAATACAATGCCAGAGACTGACACATGTCCAATACATATACAGGTCGAATACACCTACTTGGCCAGCTGTCTCTCATATCTGTTCCGCACAATATGTATTCCTTATTGGAGCGTGGAGGGAACCACTGCACGTGGAGGCTGGGCAGCACGGGGGCATGGTGGGGAGAGGGACAGCGAGAGTGAAAGCGACGAGGGCACTGGAGGATCCTCCGTGTTGCTACCCATGCGCCTGGGGACCCCTCTTCTTGACTGTTCTTGCTCTGATCCCTCAGCTGGAGCGGCTGTGAAAGCGCCTCTCACGCCCATCTTCCCGCGCTGTACAGCGCCAAGTGAGGCTCCCTTGGCTGAGGCAGCCGGTGCTGCAACATGTGATTTTGGTGCACGTTCCGTGCTGGCTGTAGTGGCAGCAGCAGAGGCATAAGCAGCAGGAGCAGCAGCAGGAGTTGATGCCAAGGACACAGGGGACACGGCGGGTGGGCGGCCAACAAGGAATGCGGCTCTGATGGATGGACGCTGGTGAATGTGGTCAGTGGGAGCGCATCCAGAGGGAAGTGAGTCACTGGGAGTGGAGTTAGTTTGTGGAGCAGACACAGGAAGCATGGGGCGAGGCCGGACCACCTGTGCCGAGCCTCCGCTGCCTGCCTTGGACAAACCAAGCCAAGAGCTTTGGTTTGGACTGTGGGTGAGGCTGTAGGTCGGTTGTAGCCTTGACTGGGTGCGTGAGGAGGGGGTAGAGCATGAGGCTCTGGAGGTTTGGCGATCCAACGGCTGGGATTGAAGGAATGCGGAATTGGGAGTGAACGGGTTTGAGGGAGGAGGTGCAGGGTGCGATGGTGAAGGTGGAGGGCGCGTGGGGGCAGGTGCATGCGCAGCAGCAGCAGTAGCAGGCATAGCAGGCAAGGAAGTGACAGTAGTAGCAGCAGAGGCGACAGCACTAGCAGGGGCAACAGCACAGCAATCAGTGGGAGGAGCAGCAGGGGGAGGAGCAGGTGGGGTGGGCACATCAGCACTGCCGGTCCTGCTGCTGCCACATGTCGCCACATCAGCACTGGTACTCCCGTTTCTGCCACGTGTCACAAGAGATTGTTTCACTCTCTGTGCCACGGGTGTCATCCTGCTCTCTGGCGCTCCAGCTGCTCTGCTGGCTACCTTCATTCCATTAGCCACCGGTGCTGACGTGGCTACTGGTGCTGACGTGGCTACAGTCCCATACAAACGTTTGACTAGTGCTGCTACAGATGGCGCACCTATAGCACTCGCTGGTACCGCACTCCCTGCTACAGCATTCCCCAAAGCAGCACTCTTATGCAATGCGGGGCATGGGGTAGCAGGAGAAGCGTGGGCGCGGTGAGGAGCAGTGGGATGAGGGGCAGGAGTGGCGGCAGTGGCTGCAATACTGGTGGGAGTGGGAGGAGCAGCAGCAGGAACAGTGGTAGTATTAACAGCAGCAGGAACAGTGGTATTGGCAGCAGCAGGAACAGTGGTAGTATTAACAGCAGCAGGCATGGCAGCAGGCATAGCAGCAGGTATGGGAGAAGGTATGGAAGCAGGCATGGCAGCAGGTACGGGAGCAGGTATGGAAGCAGGTATGGCAGCAGGTATGGTAGAGGGCGAGGGGGAGAGGTGAAAGAAGGCAGAGTACGGCATAAAGGAGGGGGCAGCAGGGGTAGAAGCAGCAGCAGCAGCAGCGGTGGCAGGGGAGGGCGCAGGGGAGGGCGAGGGGGAAAGCGAGGGGGAGTGCAAGGGGGAGGAGGGGGGGAGTTGCGAGGGGCAGAGCTGGATGATGCGCCCATCAGGCAGCATCACCGGCGCCAGGCTCCTTGACGGCTTCCCTGCCCCTCCCCCCGCTCCCCGCCCTCCTCCGCCTGCGCCTGCTCCTCCTTCCCCCACGGCACCTGCTCCTCCCCCCATCCCCCCCAAGCCCCGGGTGGGCGGCAACCCAAACACGCCCCTCCGCCTGCGCCTCCTGCGACGCGGGAAGGGAGGCGTTGTGGAATCAGCAGCAGCAGGAGTAGCAGTGGCAGCAGCAGGGTCATCAGCGGCAGTAGCAGGGGTTGCAGCAGCGGCAGCCGCAGGGGGGAGGGCAGCAGAGGAGTGAGGAGCAGGCGAGGGCAGAGCAGCAGGTGAGGGGTGAGGAGAGGGAGAGGAGGTGGAGGCAGGCAGAGGGGGCAGTGGCATGGACGAGTGGGACGCACTGGAAGGAGGCTGCAAGGGTTGTGATGATTGTGGTGGTTGTGGTGGGGATGGTGTGTGGGGTCTGGGCCAGGGCGTGGGTTTGAGGGGTGGAGTGGGGCGAGGGGCGGTGGATGGGGAGAGAGAAGGCATGGGGCGAGGGAAAGAGAAAGGGGTGGTTGGGAGGAAGGCGGTGGGAAGGGCCGGCTTGGATGGGGTATGGAAGGCAGACCGGGGAAGGGGGGCCGTAGGATGGGGGTGCGTGGGGAAGGCAGGGGTGGGACGTAAGGGGGAGTGAGAAGATGCAGACGGGGGGATGGTGGAGTGAGGGGAGTGAGAGTAGGCGAAAGGTTGGAAGGGCCTGGTTGCAGCGGGGGAATGTGAACGGAGGGGGAGAGGAAGTGGGGGGAAGTTGCGGAAGCGGGGGAGAGGAGGGATGGGGAGGAAGGCGAGAGGGTCTGTGCTGACAGCAGCAGGGGCAGGAGGAGGCGGAGCAGAGGCAGGGGGAGGAGCAGCAGAAGGAGGAGCAGGAGGAGCAGCAGGAGGAGCAAAAGGAGGGGCAGAGGCACGGGGAGCAGCAGCAGCAGGAGCAGCAGGAGGAGAAGCACCAGGAGCAGCAGCAGGAACAGCAGCAGGAGCAGCAGAGGAAGCAGCAGCAGGAACAGCAGCAGAAGCAGCAGCAGGAGCGGCAGCAGCAGCAGCAGGAGCAGCAATTGGAGCAGCAGCAGGAGCAGCAATCGGAGCAGCAGCAGGAGCAGCAGCAGCAGAAGCAGCAGCAGCAGGAGCACCAATCGGAGCAGCAGGAGGAGCAACAGGAGGGGCAGAGGCAGGGGGAGCAGCAGCAGCAGGGGCAGCAGGAGGAGGAGCACCAGGAGCAGCAGCAGGAACAGCAGCAGGAACAGCAGCAGGAGCAACACAGGGAGCAGCAGCAGGAGCAGCAGCAGAAGCAGCAGCAGGAGCAGCAGTAGAAGCAGCAGCAGGAGCAGCAGCAGCAGCACCAGGAGCAGCAGCAGGAGCAGCAATCAGAGCAGCAGCAGGAGCAGGGATGGTGACAGCAGGTGCTGTGTTGCGAGCCACATCGAGTCCTGTGCTGTGCTGCACCGCACCTGCCCGCTCACCCGTGTCAATCAGCCCTGCCCTTCCTTCCCCACCTGTGCGGTGAGCAGCACAGGCCTGTGTGAGCGCGTCACCTGCCTTGCATGCACCCCCACAGGCAGCTCCGCCTGCACTCACGGCCTCCCTTGTTGCCGCTGCCTCCAGTGACGAGGCAGCAGGTGCCCCAGTGGATGCTGGCACACCTGCACCTGGGGCTTCGCTGCTCGCTCTACCACCCCCTCCTGCTGTTGCCGTTGCTTCGACACCTGCTGTTGTTGCTGCTGCTGCTGCTACTGCTGCTGCTTCTGCTGTTCCTGCTGCTGCTCCTGGTGCCTTTTCTGGTGCTTCAGAAGAACCGGAAGTGGCTTTTGCTGCTCTGCATGCGTGTGCAGCAGCTGGTGGCAGCGGGGGTGGTGCAGGCCCCCCACCTCCTCCACTGCCCGCCGGCTGAGCTCTTGCTCCTCTGCTCGCCGCCCGCTTCTCGTGTGCCTGAGCCGCCATCCCTCCTGCTCTGCTGTCCGATGCTCTGCTGTCTGCTGCAGTTATAGAACCAGTGGGAGGCACAGCAGGAGCTGTTTCCCCCGCAGCAATCACTGGTGTGCAGGCCACAGGGCCAGCAGGAACCACTGCTGCTGCTGCCACTGGTGGTGCTGCTGCTGCTGCTGCTGACGCCACAGTTGCTGCCACTGGTGCTGGTGCTGCTGCTGCTGACGCCACAGTTGCTGCCACTGGCAGTAGTAGTAGTGGTGGTGGCGCTGCTGGTGCTGATGCAGGCACCTCCATTGGTGCAGCAGCTGCAGGCGGGGCGGGCATTGGATGTACAGGCAAAGAGGTGGTGGCGCGCGGCACAGAGAGGGCTGCGAGCAGTGCAGAGGGAGGAAGGCCAGGGCCAGCCGGGGGAGGTGCATCTGAGAGAGGTGCATTTGAGGGAGGTGCATTTGAGGGAGGTGCTGACTGGGATGGACAAGACGAAGGGCCAACTGAGGGAGGTGTATTTGTGGGGGTAGGAGAGAGGAGAACAGGAAGAAGAGGAGGTGATGGTGGTGGTGGTGGTGAGGTGGAAGGGGGAGGGAGGTGAGCAGGGAGGGGCTGTGACGAGAGGGGTTGCGAGGAGAGAAACGCTGCCCGGATGAAGATGGTGGGAGGCGGGTCGTCTGAGGCAGATGCAGGAGGAGTGGGAGGGGGAGGTGAGGGAGGGGGAGGTGAGGGAGGTTGAGGTGGAGGAGGAGAGTGTGGTGGGGATAGCGGGGGTTGGGTGGGCCGTGAAGACGCAGGGGAGGGAGGGGATGGTGGGCAGGGGGAGGAGGAGAGAGGTGATGTAGGAGATGGTGATGTAGGAGATGGTGATGTAGGAGATGGTGATGTAGGAGATGGTGATGTAGGAGATGGTGATGTAGGAGATGGTGAGAGGGAAGCAAGGGAGGGAAGTGATGGAGGGGGGTGGGCAATGGGAGAGAGGCATGCATGATGGGCGATACACCCAGCAGCACCTGCTGCTGCATCGGCAGAAGCAGCATTAGCAGCACCGGTGCCAGCTTTAGGAGCATTGGAATAAGCTTTCGCATTAGCAGCGATTGCAGAAGCATCAACAGTAGCATCAGCACCAGCATCAGCAGCAGCAGTAGCAACAGAAGCAGCAATACTTGTAGCAGCAGCAGCAGCATTATTATCAGCAGCATCAGCATCAGCATCACCGTCAGCGGCACCAGAAGCAGCGTCATTATCACGACCAGCAGCAGCATGAGCATGACAAGAGGCGGCATGTGCTGACCCGTCTCCCTGTGCCCCCTGCCCAGTGCCCTCACACCCACCACCCTCATCATCTCTATGCCTACTGCTGTCAACATGGCTACCACCAGCAGCGTGGATACCAGCAGCAGCATGGTTACCAGCAGCAGCATGGTTACCAGCAGCAGCGTGGATACCACCAGCAGCGTGGTTACCACCAGCAGCGTGGTTACCACCAGCAGCGTGGAAACCAGCAGCAGCGTGGTTACCAGCAGCAGCGTGGTTACCAGCAGCAGAACAACGAATATCAGCAGAACCAGCAGCAGCACTGGCAGCACCAGCAGCAGCACTGGCAGCACCAGCAGCAGCACTGGCAGCAGCAAGTGGTTGTGTGGACAAAGCTTCGTCATTAACAACACAGACTGACCCTGACTCAGCACGCAAGGCATCTGACTCAGCACGCAAGGCATCTGACTCAGCACACAGTGCATCTGACTCAGCAGCGGCGGCAGCAGCAGCAGCTAGCAGGTCAACAGCAGAAGGGTGGCGGTGGTGGTTGTCAGTGCATCGACCCACTGAGGATGCTGCTGTCACCGATGCTGCTGCTGCTGCTCCTGCTCCTGCTTCTGCTTCTGTTGCTTCGGCTAGTCCTGCTTCTGCTGCTGTTGTCGCTTCTGCTGCTCTTTCTACTTCTGTAGCTTGTGCTGCTGCTGCTATTTCACAACTTGCTGCTGTTGCTGGTTCCTCTCTCGCTGCTCTTACCACCGCCAACCCTCCCTCTGCTGCCCCTGCGGCCCCTGCTGCCTCTGCGGCCCCTGCGGCCTCTGTTGCCCCTGCGGCCACAGTGCTATGCTCAGCTGTAGCAGCATGTGCTTCCTCCTCTCCCATTACACACTCTCTTCCTGCCCCTCCCCCTCCCATTAGTGTTGCTGCCTCTCGCAATGCAGTCACCTTCGCTAGAGTCACATCGGATAGAGTCACAGCAGGCTTTATAAGCCCACCACCACTCGTTTCCGTCACAACTCCCCGCAGCAGCAGCTCGCGAAATTGAACAAACGGCTGCTGCCGCTCTTGCTGCTGCTCTAGCTGCTGCTGCTGGTGCTGCTGCTGGTGCTGCTGCTGTGAATGCTGCTGCTCTGGCTCCCCTCCTCCCGCGTCTGCTTCCACCTCGCTCTCAGCCCCTCCTTGATCCTCCTGCAACGCCTTCCCTTCCCCTTGCCCGTCTCTTCCTGCACCCTCGGAGATTGGCTGCAAGGGCCTTGCTTGTACCACTGCTGGTTGTGACACTGTCGGTTGCAGCAGGGACCATCTCAGAAGCATGCTAGCCCCTCCCACAGCCCCTTCCTCGCCCTCTACACCTCTTCCGCTCACCTCTCCTCCACTCACCTCTCTTTCCCTCACCTCTCCCCCACCACATACACCTTCCCCGGGTGCCACCTCCCCACTGCCCGGGCCTGGCCCTTCCATCCCTGCTTCCAGAGCTCGCTGCGTCAGCGTCAGGTGCGGCTGACTCAGCACGGATCCCGCATTCGCTACAGTGTCAGGGCGGGCAGGTGGCACCTGGGGAGGGCTCGACTGCACAAGAGGCTGCAGCAGATGCAGGCGGTTGGGAAAGAGCTGCTGGAATGCCACGTGGCATGCTGCAGTGCCTCCTGTGCTGCCACATGTGCTGCTGCTTGTGTTGCTGTACGCTGCGATTCCATCTGGAGTGGCAGCATTTGGCGTGATGGCATCTGACGTGGCACCACTGACTGCCATGTCAGCTCTTGTGTCACCACGTGGGCCATGCTGCCATGCTGCATGCCCCCTCGCATGAACACCCTCACACCGTGTGCCTGCATTCTGCTCTCCTCCTGCTTCCACATGCTCCTGCCCCCCATCCTTCCGCCCTCCATGCTCCATCCGCCGCTCCTCCTGTACTTGCTCACTCTGCTGCTCCTCATTCCTTCTCCTCCCCTTACTTGCCAACCCCTCCCCCATCTCCTCTGCCCCTCTCTCTTCACCTCTTTGCCCCTCACCTGGGAACGCAACAAGCCCTTCCAATTCCCTCTGCTCCTCCTCCCGAATCTCCCCATTCATCCTTCGCCTCTGCATCTCCTGTTCTCTCTCTATGTCATGCTCTCTTTGCTCCTCTTGCTCCCTTCGCAATTCTTCCTCTCTCTGCGCCAACCGTTGACTCTCCATCCACTCCCGTTCTCCCCGCATTTGCTCTTCTCTCTGAATTTTCTCTTCTCTCCGCATTCGCTCTTCTCTCTGCATTTGCTCTTCTCTCTGCATTCGCTCTTCTCTCTGCATTCGCTCTTCTCTCTGCATCTGCTCCTCCCGCTCTCGCTGCTGCTGCCTAAGAGCGAGGCGGCGGGCAGCCAAAGCATCGGAGAAGAGGCGGCGCAGCTGGGTGGGGTCGCGGTGGGGCATCACAGCACGGCTCATGGCATGCCAGTCCAGCTTCCATGCATTCAGCGCCTGGGGGGGGATGGGGTGCATGAGGATTAGGGGGAATGGGCATGGGGATAAAAGCGGGAGGCAGGGGGGCATGACAGCACGGCTCATGGCATGCCAGTCCAGCTTCCACGCGTTCAGGATTCATGGCATGTGAGAGGCATACATGCGAAGCCAATTCAGTCATGGCCCCTTTGGTGTGCCAATCCACAACGCATGCAGTCAGCACCGTGAGGCAGGGAGACGGAAATGATGATGGCGGCACGATGGCGTCACGATGGTTGCGCAATGCAATGGTGTATGATGGTGAACGAGAATAGAGTACAAGACAAAGGCGGTGCTGCAGATGCAAGGTGAATGGTGCTGTCGTGTTGAGGTATGGCGACGCACCGTTTGTATTTGATCGACCTCGTGGTCCGTCAAGGGAGCAGTCTTGCGCCGCCACACTTGCTGCAGGAGAGGCACACATGCAGACACAGATGGGCACAGAAGCGGACACAGCGGACAAAGATGGAGAGGCACTTGGTGGAGCATGGATGGATGCCATGCACGCCTTGCCTTGCCTTGCCTTGCCTTGCCTTGCCTTGCCTGCCTGCCTGCCTGCCTGCTTGCCTGTCTCCCTAACTCGCCAGGCATCAAAACGCATGTGCATGCACAGCGCTGTGTGCGCGTTTGCGTGGCTGTGCGTGAATGCGCACCTTGATGGGGTTATCGGGCACGCGTGAGGAGCACCGGTTCTTCCACCGAATGGAGATCTGACGGCCAGAGAGGGGGGGAGGGGAGATACAAGGTCAGTGCATGCTCATGTGCGTGTCTGTGCACGTGTGAGTGAGGAGCACCGGTTTTTCCACCGGACAGCCAGGAGGGGGGATCGTTACAAAGTCGCGCTGGCAAAAAGGCATCAGGATGTGGAGAGAGAGTGTGTGTCTCTCTCTACCGTGCATTGATACTAAGGACCATTCGAGAGTGAGAAGGAACGGATACATAGGCAGAGGACAGTGTGGGAAATGGGCGGGGCAGAACTGCGCGTTTCGTGTGCATCACCACCTACCGCTGCATATCCACGAATGAGCGACACCCTTCACATCGTCACTCTAATGTCTCACTTACTCGCCGAGGCAGCTCGTTGAAACGTGGCGTCTGTCTCATCCTCGTGTGCTTCAGCCGCACATCCCAATCCCAACGGCCCACAGCTCACCTGGTGCGTTGTGAGGCGCCTGACCCACCACACCCCACGGCCCACCACACCCCACCGCCCACCATACCCCACCGCCCACCACACCCCACCGCCCACCACACCCCACGGCCCACCACACCCCACGGCTCACCACACCCCACGGCCCACCACACCCCACGGCCCACCACACCCCACGGCCCACCACACCCCACGGCCCACCACACCCCACGGCCCACCACACCCCACGGCCCACCACACCCCACGGCCCACCACACCCCACCGCCCACCACACCCCACGGCCCACCACACCCCACGGCCCACCACACCCCACGGCCCACCACACCCCACGGCCCACCACACCCCACCGCCCACCACACCCCACGGCCCACCACACCCCACGGCCCACCACACCCCACCGCCCACCACACCCCACGGCCCACCACACCCCACGGCCCACCACACCCCACGGCCCACCACACCCCACCGCCCACCACACCCCACCGCCCACCACACCCCACGGCCCACCACACCCCACGGCCCACCACACCCCACCGCCCACCACACCCCACCGCCCACCACACCCCACGGCCCACAACCCACCTGGTGCGGAGTCTTGCCCGGCAGGAAGCGCCTGTGAATGGCCTCCCAGTCCGTGCCTAGCTGCTCCACGCCCATGGCCAGCAGGCTGGTGCACAGAGGGCCACGGGGATGCAAGGGAGGCGAGGGAATGAGGGGCACAAGGGGGGAATGGTCACTGCTGAGACGCTAGCCCCACGGCTAGCCAGGCAGATGTACCCTATCATGTATGCATGCAAGCACTTGCTGTCGGAACAAGACGGCATGCCACGTGAAATGGAGGAACCAGTCATACTAAACACACCATTCAAAGACCTACATCAGCCATCATATGCATACATCCATGCGTCCATGCCCCCACCCACCCACCCACACATGCACCCACCCACCCACACACCCATGCACCCACCCAGCCACGCACCAGTCCTCAGCGGGGGAGAAGAGGGTGCGGTGCAGCAGGGGCGGGCGCACCACGGGGAAGAGCGTGGCATCAAACACAGCGCCCAGCGCCTGCACTGCTGCTGCCACCTCGCCAGGTACCCGCACCACCTCGCCCACCCCCGCCCTCCGCCCCTCCTCCTCCTCCCCCCCTATCACTGCTTCCTTCGCCTCCTCCTCCCCTCTGTCTTCCTCCCCTCCACCTTCCCCTTCTCTCGCTTCCTCCTCTTCCTCCCCTTTCTCGTCGTCCTTCTCCCATCGGCGCCCAGAAGCAAGGCGCTGGGGGGATTGGAACCGAGGTGCCTTGTGGGGAGAGGCAGGGTAGGAGGGGGCGAGAGATTGGAGGGCGGGTGGCACTGGGAACATGGGCACCCACTTGCGCTTCCTCTTCTTCCTCCTCACTCCCACTGATTGCTGCTGCTGATGTTGATGCTGCTCATGACGATCGTTAACAGCAGGACACACTTTTGAAATCTGATGTTGTTCTTGCTGCTGCTGCTGCGATGTGTGCTCGTCGTGTTGCTGCGTATCCCCCACGACTCTCAGACAATGCCCTCCTTGGTTGCCCTCTTCTTCTCGCTGCCGCTGCATCGCAGCACCATCACCATCATCCTCTGCTTCTCGCCTTTGCACACCCTTCCCTACCGTCTCTTCCCTCTCTCCACCCTCACATTCCGCCCCTTTTGTCTTCTCCCCCCTTTCTAGCGTGCCATTCAATGTTCTTTCTGCCTCTGTCCGCTGTCCCACCTTCCTCTCCTCCCCCACCTCCCCCACCGCTTTCAACCCCTGCCCACCACTCTCACCTGTCCCTCTTTCTCCACTCACTGCTTCCATCAGCACTGCACCTCCACTCCTACCATTTGCCACGTCACCCTCACTCCCCCCTCTCCTTAAACACTCTTCCCCAATCCCTTCCCTGTGCATTCCCTCTTCCCCAACCCCTCCTCTTCCCTCACCGCCTCCTCTCACACCCCCACTTTTCTCACCCCCTTCTCCCTCACCCCCTCCTCTCTCACCCCCTCCTCCGTCACCCCCGCCTCTCTCACCATCACCCCCACACGCCCTACGTCTCTCAGCCTCTCTTCCATGAGACACAGAAAAGGCTGTACCAGCACCAAGTGGCGCCGACCCACATGGAGTTGATGCGCCACTCACTGCTGTGCCTGCACATGATTCGTCCATTTGTGCTGTTGCTGCTGCTGCTTGTGGTGTCCCGACTACTGCTTCGTTTTCTGCTGACAATAATGATGACTGTGCTGCTACTTGTGCTGCTGCTGTTGCTGCTGCTGGCGGTGCTTCTGCTGGTATTGCTGGTGTTTCTGCTGCTGTTGTTGGCGCGTGCGTTTCTGCTGCCACAGCTGCAGCACGTGTTGTCGGCGGGCTCATGGATTGCTCCCGGAGAACTGCAAGGGAGAGACGGAATAGGAAGAAAGCAGGGTGAGGCAGGGGCAACAGCAACAGTGCAAAGAATGCACAGCACATGGCGCCAGTCAAATATCAGACACCACGACGCTCTGCTCATTATCATCCCATCCCTTCCCACACCCTTGGCCGCCCTGCTCTCCCAGCCACAGCACATGGAGCTACTAAGAAATCAAACACTAGAACCCCCTGTTATACGCACACACTCCTTGTCCCATGCTCGCAGCCACCCCCCCACCCACGCCCACGTGTGCCCCTGTCTGACCTTGGTCGATGGAGTGCAGGAACGCGGGCAGAAGCGTGAGACTGGGCACCGAATCTGCTAGCCGCGGTGCTGCCCTTGCAGCCCCCAGACCCTCAGCAGCGGCAGCAGCAGCAACGCGGTGAGAAGCAACGGGGTCAGAAGAAGCAGCCGCAGTACCGTTGCGACCACCAGCAGTGCCATCGGCAGCAGCAGCGGCGGCACAAGCAGCAGTAGCAGCACCCGAGGCCAAGGCAGTGGCAGAGCCCTGAGCTCCCAGGCGGGCAACAGGAGGTGCGCGAGAGTGAGGAAAAGGTGGCACGGGAGGCGAGGGTGGTGCGTCCACCCCTGGTGCATCAGCAGCTGATACACTGTTCAAAGCTCCTCCCGCAACTCCTGACTCAGTAACACCCCCCCCAGTAGCACCTCCCCCCAACTGCGCCAGCTGTGCCAGCAAGCCCCTGAGCACCGTGGCCACCTGGCAGCGGGAGGGGTCCAGCACACACGCCGCGTACACCTGCACTGCCAGCTGCACGTGACACGCCAGCAGCGCCGCCAGCTGGGCGCGCTGATGTGGCGCGAACGCAAGGGGGATGGGGACAGGAGCGAGGCATGCAACGGGGCGAATATGGAAGGGGTATGTGCCGTGTGCCGGTAGGGGAAGTGGCACAAAGGAGCGCGCAGTGGGGAGCGGGGCGATGGGGAGTAGGCGAGGGGGGGGCACTGGCGCGGCAGCAGGAGCAGCAGCAGCCGCAGTCACAGCCGCAGGAGCAGCAGGAGCAACAGCAGCAGCCACTTTCCTAGTGTGTCCAGCAGTAGTAGCAGCGCACTCTGACCCCACACCACCACCAGCAGCAGCGCCAGCACCAGGGCCAGCAGCAGTTCTGCCTGCGCGGCCCTTCCTGCCCGCCGCCCTGGGTCCTGCTGCTGCCGCTGCTGCGGATCCCCTCCGCCTGCCCTGCCCGGCGCTGCCCGCCCCGCCACTCACCCCCGCTGGGCTGCCTGATGGGGGTGATAAGCCCGACGCACCATGCGCACCCCCATCAGCACCATCCGAGCCATGAGCGGAAGAAACCAAGGCATGTGGATCAGCATCGGCAGGAGACGCACCCTCAGTGCCTGCTCTTGCGTTTGGACTGTCGCCTCTGCAAGCTGCTGTCTCTTTCCCCGTCCCCCCTCCATCCCCCATCACCCCACCCCCTTCTTTCACTGCCTCGTCTTTCCCCTTCTTCGCCCTCCGTCTCCTCTTAGAGCCTCCCGCCTCCACTTTTCCCCCCCCTTCCCCCTCTCCCTTCCCGTCCTTCCTCACCGCCTCACTGCCCTTGCCTCTCCTCCTCGACACCCCTGCAGTGGTCCGCTTTGACCTCCGCACTCCCACCCCCACCCCCTCGCTGCGCATTTCCACCGCCCCTCCCCTTCCCCGCTCGCCCACGCCCTGGACAGGTGGCAGCTGCTCATTGGCTGGCTCATGCCCGTTACCCTGAGGGACAGTGGGAGCAGCAGTGGGGTGCTGGTGGAGACGAGAGGGATCAACCTCATGCCCAACTGCCACTGCTTCATGCGCCGCCGCTTCCCCTCCCTCCCCTACGTCCCTCCCCCCCCCCCTCCTGCAGGCCCCCCATCTCTCCGCCCCACGACCCCCCATAGTCCCCCTGCCCCACCCCACGGATGCACTTGTGCCTCTTGCCCCTCTCCCTGCCCTCTCCCTCGCCCCACCCCTCCCCCTCCTCCGCGTCCTCCTCCTCCACCCTCGCACCTGCCTCCGCAGCTGCCTCTGCCTCCGCCTGTGCCTGCATCTCCGCTATAAGCTCATCCTCCAGCCCCGCTAAAAGTCCCTCGTCAAGATCATCCTCGTCCACAACGAAGTCCTGCAGATCCAGCAGCTCATCCTCACCGTCCATTAGCAGATCATCGCCCTCCAGCAGCAGCAGATCGTCGATATTGAAGTCCATATCCTCCTCGTCCTCCTCATCCTCCGCCTCCTCTTTATCCTCCCCCTCGTCGTCCCCCTCCCCCTCCACCGCTTCCTCTCGCTCTTCCTCCCCGTTTTCCTTCTCCGTGTTCTCCTCTTCTCCTCCATCTACACCTTCCTCTGTCTCCTCCCCTCTTCCGATGCTATCCCCTGCTTCTCCTCCAGTCCTCACATCATCCCCTTCCCCCTCCTCTCCACTCTCCCTTCTTCCCTTCACCCCCCTCACTTCCCCCTCCTCCCCTTCCCCCGCCCCATCCTCCCCTTCCCCCACCCCATCCTCCCCCTCCCCCTCCTCTCCTTCCCCCTCCCCTTCACCCTCCCCCTCGTCCCCCTCGTGGTCACTACCGCAGGGCGAGTCGGGGAACAGCACGGCGGACAGGAACCGCTCGTACTCCTCCTCCTCCTCCTCCGCATGGAACAGAAACTCCTCCTCCTCCTCATCCTCCTCCGCGTCTCGCGCCACCCGCGCCAGCATCACCTCGAGCTCTTCTATCGGGGTCTGCGCCAGCGACACTCGCGCGCGCGTGCGACGGCTGATCGTTCCGTTGGGGTCGGTCTCGTCGCCCGCTCGCTCCTCGTCTCGCTCCTCGTCTCGCTCCTCGTCCCCCACCTCCACGTCCGTTCCCTCCCTCGCGTTCATTTCCGCGTCCCTCGCTTCTGCGTCCTGTGCTTCTAAGCAGCGCGCGTCAGCAGTGCGCGCGTCTACAGTGTCCGCCGCTTCTGTATCGTGCGGCTGCGAGCTGCGCAAGTCAGAACCGCGCGCGCAACTCTCGTCCGCCTGTGGGCCGTCCGCCACGTCCAGCCTTCCGTGCAGCTCTGCTGCCTCCGCCACGTCCAGCCTTCCGTGCAGCTCTGCTGCCTCCGCCATCTCAGCTAAGTGCCTCTCCACCTCTGCCTCCTTGCTCACGTCATCTTCCGCCATCTGCGTCGTCGTGTATCGAGCCGTCCTGTAACGAGTTGTTTAACGGCTCTACAACCTGCAGCTTCACTGAACGTCGTTCTTAAGAATGGTCGCTGGGGCAACTGTACCGCCAGCAGCCGGAGTTCCTTCCTGCTGCATCAACAGGCTGTCAACTGGCATCGCGGCAGTCTGATCACAACCCCAATTGCCTTCGCAATCCCGAACCATACTGAAATACTAAAGAACCTGCGACAGCTCGTGCACGGACAGCGTAAAGTCAATTCGAAGCGTCTCGACCACATGCGTTGTCAGCTGGCAGATTTTGGCTGCATATGTTTGCGAGCATTATGGTGACCTGCTCCTTAGTATTGCCTTGGTAGCGAGGGAGCTATCTTGCACTGTCGGATGTATCATGGCTGAGAAACGTCTGGAAGTTGGATGGGCGGAACAAGACGAGGCAGGTCGGATGTGTGGGATCGGGTGATCGCATGGTGGCAGGGAGTTGTGTGGCTGGCTGGCTGGATGTCGATTTGTGGAGATGATCCCGATGGTGGTGCTGGTGAAAATGAGGAATTCTAGTTTAGTGCAAATGTTCTGATCGTGACGAGGCGTTCCACGGAAGTTCAGCAGCTCGATGACAATTCAAGAGGTGTTTAAGTCGGTGATTTACGGTGCAGCGTGTTTCAGACTGGTAGCCTGTCAATCTGAACCTCGAATCGTCCTGACCACATGAATCCTCTCTACGAAATTCAGTTCAAACCACAAGCTGCATCCAAGGATGTAACGAACTTGTACGGCTGAACCTGTATTTGTACAACATACACAAAACTCAAAGCACCCAAATGAAGTGTACCTTCGCATGTGTAAACAGGTCCTCCACCAGCTTTAGCTCATTGATTCCTTCCCATATCTATCCGTTGATCAACTCCCATCCCACCCACCTGCTGCCACTCTGCGATTTGAATTTCAAAAGCGAACTCTGTACGTGTAATCCATTCGCAGACCGCGAGTGGTCCTCGTAGTGTCACTCCTTGAGCTCACAAAAAGGCGAAGTCGCTTCGTCCAGTACACGAGCTTAGCACATGCTTCATCTTGGTTCGGCCCCGATTCATTGTCCTCGTTTTCTAAGGAATGGAGGCGGGTGACCCGACACCACTAAACGACGTGCCGTGCCACCAGAGGAACGTGCGGATGTGGATGCGCGTGCTCGCATGGAAGAGCGCGCTGAAGGTGCTGACGTGGACGGGATAACCGAACACGTGGCAGTGATAGATGAGAGCATGGCGGACGCCTATCTGGACGATAATGACCATCTCGACGACGCTGGCGACGACGATGGCGATGACGGCGATTCGGATTTGTTAGCGGACGACGTTGGCGATGCGAACGACGCTGACGAAGATGCAGGCGACATGGATGACGACATAGAGGGGGGACGTGCCGCCGTAGAGGTTGGGGTGGAGCCGATCGGGGGACGTGGAGGTGCGACGGAGGAGAAGGAAGAAGAAGTGGCGGAGGAAGAAGAAGAGGAGGAGGAGGAGGAAGAGGAGGAGGAAGAAGAAGAGGAGGAGGAGGAGGAAGAGGAGGAGGAAGAAGAAGAGGAACTGGATGAGGCACAGCGCGTTGTGATTGCTGACGACGATGAGATGAGCGTTCACTCGGAGGAGGAAGAGGAGGAAGGGGAGGAGGCGGGAGAGGGGGTAGGCGCGCGTGAGGGGGGTGGAGAAGCTCGGGGTCAAAGGGAGGGGAGGACAGGTGGCGATGGCAATGAGAGACCGGGCGGAGTGGTGGCGGATGGGGGGAGGCGAGAGGCGGGAGGTGAAGAGGCGGAGATAGCAGGAGAGGGGCGGAGAGGAGCGCAAACAGGTGGGCGCTTGGATGAGGAGAAGGAAGCGAAGGAAAGCAGTGAGCAATCAGAGGCGGCAGGAGCGAAGGGCGGAACGGAGAGGGCAGAGGTTTCTGCAGCAGCGGAAGCACGTGTGACCGTAGCCGCGTCTGCAGAAGGGGAGAGACAAGAGGCAGGAGAAGCAGGAGAGGGTGGTGCTGCGGGAGAGGTTCCCTCAGCAGGGGACGCTCGCATAGCAGGGAAGGGCGCCTTCAGCAAGTGACGCGGCTGTAGCAGCAGCAGATGCACCTTCAACAGAGGAGGCGGCTGTAGCAGCGCCAGAGGTGCCGGTGGCGTGTGTGAAGCGCATGATGCGCCTGGATGGCGAGGTGCGGCACGTTTCGTCCGATGCCGCCCAGCTGGTGGCCTCTGCCGCCCACCTCTTCCTCGAGAGCCTCGCCGCTGCCGCCTTCTCCCGCACTCTCTCCGCCCGCCGCCTGACCATCACCCAGGCTGACGTGGCAGCTGCTGTGCGCTCATCAGACAAGATCAGGTGAGGGGGGGGAAGTGCGAGAAAATGGTGAGATGAGGGCGAGGGTAGGGTGAGCGGACGGCGAGGGGAGGGTGAGAGGAGGGCGAGGGGAGGGTGAGAAGAGGCCTTGGCCAATCCAGCACATGTTGATATTGCTCTATTGAACATGCTTGTGTGAGTCCTTGCTTTTCTGTCCATGAGCATACAGGTTCTTCTATCTCTTCCCTGGGTACATTCATGAGTCTGCCCTTACTCTTGTGCTGTGCCCATTGTGCAGCGAGTTCATTGGCTCGTCAATATCCTGCCTTCGACACGTCAGCAGCGGTCCAGCTCGTGTTGATGCAGCACGGGGGCCGGGGAGAGTGGGCACGGATGGGTCGAGGAAGCGGGTGAGGGCAGAGGCCGCAGCGCCAACAGCAGTGCGGGACAGGAAGGCACGGTTCATTACAGCTTTCTTCCTCAAGTCGTAGCGCTGGCTTGTGAGTTCGGGGCAGGGACCTCGAAAGTCAGAGGCAGCAGCGCCAGCGCCCGTGCGGGCCAATAAAGACGGTTCATCACCGCCTTCTTCCTCAAGTCGTAGCCGCCACATTGGAGCCGCAACCACCACACAATGTATAGCCGCCGCTCTCATGCTGCACCCACAGCCTGGTGGCCCCACCCGCACCATCTTCCTTGCTTCCCTGCAACTTCCATGAAGCGCACTGCACTGCCCGCCCTGCCTGCACTGCCTGCTCTGCCTGCACTGCCTGCTCTGCCTGCACTGCCCGCCCTGCCTGCAGTGGCAGGTACCTCATGCAGGGAGCACGTCTGCCATCTCAAATCGACACATGTGCTGACATCATCGCCAGGAACTTGCTGTGCTGCACTTGCAGCAGCTGCTTGGGCCTTGTAGCAGGTTTTGCAGTTTCAGTGCGAGGCCTGAGGGTAATGGAATGGGTAGAGCTTAGAGATGGTCGCATGTAAGCACGGTACTGTATTGGAGGATGCTGTTTTCATAAGTGCGTCGTTCATCTGACTTTGTACTGTGGAAGGTGTTTTTATAAGTGGCTCAACAGTGCACCACTGTACTGATGATGATGTACGTATAATCGTCCTATTAGTCCAACAGTGAACTGTACAGTATCAGTTGCCGTGGATGGTGTATCGGTCCCACTTCTTAGCCGGGTCGTATATCTGCGAGACAAGCAAAACGTTCAGTGGGGGAGAACGGGACGAGGTACGTCTAAGAAGAGCAAGGGGGATGTGCGGCAGCGTCAGGGAGAGGAAAGCGAGGGGCGAGGGCAGACTACAGCCAAGACGGGCACAACTGCAGGTACAGCAGGCAGAAAGGCAGGAGCAGTAGCAGCAGCAGAGGCGGAGGGGAAATGGAGGTGCGGGGCGGCTGACCTCCCATCGGGAGGCGGGGAAGATGTGCTTGTTCTTGTCGTACCAATGCCTCTCCACCACCTTGCCCGCATGCGACTGGGGGGAGTGTGGGAAGGGGGGGAGACGAGAGAGAGGAACGGGATGGAAGGAATCGAGGGATGAGTGGTGATGCGCGACCTGTGCTTATGGGAAGAGCGGGGGCGAAGAGGGGAGGGGAGGAGGAGAAGTTGGGGTATGAGCGGCGATCATGAAGAGTTGGAGAACCAGGAGTGCACTGCATGTGGGATGCGAGGCGAGTGAGCCTTGCAATGTGTGAACCCATGCCTCTGTAGGCATGCTGAGACATGATTCGCCATGCTGAGACATGATTCGCCATGCTGAGACATGATTCGCCATGCTGAGACATGATTCGCCATGCTGAGACATGACCATTCACGGACGTCTCCCAGACATCAATCTCGTTCCACAAGACACTCTCCATCCATTACACCCGTACACTCCCTCCTCTTCCCCCACCAGCACCTCGTCCTTTCACCCCAGCATCTATCCCCCTCCCCATTTATCCAGTCCCGCCCTTACCCCCTTTCCCCCCACGCACCTCGTCCTTCTCTCCCCCACGCCAACGCACCTCCTCCTTCTCCCTCCTCCCACTCAACGCACCTCGTCCTTCTCGATGGTGGCATCCCCCGTGGTGCGGATGTCATCATGCACGTCGAAGTGGAACAGCTGAACGGGGCGGTGGGTCGGCAAGGGTGGCCCACATGGGGTTGTGCGCGGTGGCCCACCGTGTTGTAAGGGCACCGCAGGGGGGGGTGGATCGGCAGGAGAGGGAGACAGAGAGAGGAATTGAAGCAGAAATGAGAGATGCGTGCAACAACAGGCCCAGAACGACAGCAAGGGGGCAGGAAAGACGGCAAGGGGCGCCATTAACATAACCACAGCCATCCTCATCCCTGAATACACCCCCCCCTTCCCCACATGCATCCCCACCCCCCCACACAGCATGTGTGTGTGCCTCACCGGGCCACTCTTCCCGCGCGCCTTGTTCACTATGAGCTCGTAGAACGTGTATTGCTGCCACGGGCGCACAGGGAAGAAGGGGCGGTCAAAGAAGGGGAGGTCAAGGAAGGGGGTCAAGGAAGGGGGTCAAGGATAGAAAGGGCCGAGGGGGCCACACGGGAGCCTTGCTCATAATGAGCTCGTACAAGGTGTATTGGTGTTGGGGGGGGGGGGGGAGGGAGGGATTTGGGGAGGGGAGAGGAGGGTGCGGGCAGAGGGATAAAAGGGGTGATAAGGAGGTGCACGGGGGTGTGTGCGCTGGGGATTGTTACCAAGGGAGGGGCAGAGGAATGATGACGCCACTCACATGAGGAATGATGACGTCATCACTCACACGTGGGACGATAAGATCTTCCTTAATATACACGAGCCCCTCCTATGTGCGCTGATTATGATTGTGTTGCATGCATGCTGTGAGCTTAGTTGGGAAAGACGCTGGGGACAAACTGCGTCCTGCGTCTGGACGCAGCGTCCAGACGCTAAGACGCAGGACGCGCGTCCAGACGCAGGACGCAACTCGATTGTTTTTTCGGGCTGACCCGACAAAAAAAAAATCCCGAAACGCGAAATTGACATTCGCGATTTTGACGCGAATGTCAATTTCGCCAAAAAACGACCCCCCAAAAGCAACTCGACATTGAAAACAGCCCCCCCCCCCCAACTTCAAACCCCTCAACACAAAATTGAAAAGCCCCACCCCCATCCCACCCAACCACTCTACATCTAGAACATCCAACCTTCCCCCCTCCAACCAAACCCATTTAGGGTTGCACACATCTCATTTGGCCTCACTTCATTCACAACCACAATAATCTTTTGTAAACCCTTAAAGCTGCGGTCTACATACTAAGTGGTGTTTTTTGGGTGTATTTTTTATGCCCACCCTTTCGTGCGTTTTGATTGGAGAACGAAGTCAACAGATTCAGAAACGCCGCAGCAGACGAACTCAGACAGGAAACGCGAATCCAGCCCAATTTCGTGCTGACGCGTAGTTTGGGGGAGGGTCTGCGGAAGGGCGGGAAACAACCTGGGGAGTTCTGTTTCAGGCGGAAAGAACCCCAACCCCCTCCCTCCACCCCTCTAAACCGTTAGCTTTGCAAGAAAGGTGGCCGAGTTCAAAAACTGGTCACCCTGTTTTCAAGTGATAATCTGAGGCCTCCCGCTATAGGTATGTAGACCGCAGCTTTAAGGTTTAAACTTCCTAGTGCAACTTCTTTTGCAACAAAAAATTGTTGTTGGGGAATAATTAGCATTGAAAGTGTGGACCGTCCCCCCCCCCCCCCCCCCCCCCCCCTCTACTCATGCCCTGTAACTGGTTTTTTTGCCTGCCCGGGGGTTTTTTTTGCCCTGCCCGGGCATGCGTCTTTTGGTGCGTCTTTCTGGTCCAGGTGGGGCGTCCTGCGTCTGGACGCATGTGTCCAGGACGCAGGACGCGTCTTTCCCAACTAAGGCTGTGAGCGAGCCATGCAGGACGGACGTCACTCACGTGCGGGATGATGACGTCACTCACATGAGGGATGATGACGTCACTCACATGTGGGATGATGACGTCACTCACATGTGGGATGATGACGTCACTCACATGTGTGATGATGACGTCACTCACATGTGGGATGATGACGTCACTCACATGCGGGATGATGACATTACTCACATGCGGGATGATGACGTCACTCAAATGCGGGATGATGACGTCACTCACATGCGGGATGATGACGTCACTCACATGCGGGATGATGACGTCACTCACATGCGGGATGATGACGTCACTCACATGCGGGATGATGACGTCACTCACATGCGGGATGATGACGTCACTCACATGTGGGATGATGAGATCTTCCTTGATGTACACGAGCCCCTCCACTGATGCCGATCGCACCTCCCTGAAGTCAGGTGCCAGCTGCTGCTGCACCGCTCGCAGGAAGTCCGCTATGCTGTCCCCCTTGCGCACCTGGAAGGAAAAAGGGGGGCATGGGCCCAAAAATCAGCTGGTGCCTGAGACGTCTTGAGAATCAGCTGCTGCTGCACTGCCCACAGGAAGTCCGCTGTGCTGACACCCTTGCGCACCTGGTGGGGGGTTGGAAGGGGGGGGGGGGGGGGGAAAGGGGGGGGAAGGGGGAACAAAAGGGGCAGACGGCTTAAAAATCAGCTGCTGCCGCATGGCCCTCAGGAATTCCGCTATGCTGTCGCCCTTGCGCACCTTGGGAGGGAGGGGGGAGTGAGGCAGACGAGGGGGGACCGGGGGATAATGGGGGGAGAGAGCAGTTGTGGCCCACAACTTGTGGGAGGGGGGGAAGAGGTGGGGAGGGACAGGGGAGGGAGGTAAAGGAGGGAGAGAGGGAGGGAGGGTGCATGTGTGAAAGGACCATGTGACAACCACATGTGGAAAACCTGAATCATTCCACATAAAATAGGCAACATACATGCACCACACATGGTATTCGCGCATAGTGACTGCATGTGGTAACCGTACGTGGTAACATACAACCAACCGCATGCAGCGCCCTTTCCTCACCTTGATCACTCGCCTGTGCCCCGCCCCATCCCAGAAACTGTATGTGATCTCCAACGGCTCGTCTGATTGGCCGACGGGGTGGAGAGGATAGGCACGGGAAGGGCGGGCATGGGGATAAGATAAAGCAGAGGGAGGATGCTGAAATGCAGCTTCGCTTTGTGGTAAGACTACCAGCTGCAGTTGATTTGAGACATCTCCAAACCTCTCGAGTGCAATGGAACCCCCTGCAATCGCACTGTCTAGCATAAAGCAGCGTAAAACAGTCACCCGTTATCCCCCAAATAGGCACACTCGTCATCCCTATACACACTTGACCTTATCGTCAACCTTTATGAGACGTCCCTAAAATATCATAAACTCCCTCTTTGTCCCTCTTGATTTTCACTCATCCCCTGAATAGGCTCACCCGTATCCCAGATACAGACCTGATTGCATCCCCCATATAGACTCACTCTTTATCCGCTCCTGCTCCGCCATCCACTGCTTGGCCAGTCGCTCCCTCTCTGCTGTCTCCTGCGCCTCTCGGTCCCTGTGCGGCGAGCAGGGGGGTCGGGTGACGGCACGAGGGTTCAGTGTCGCCACGGAGGGGTGGGTGGGCGAGGAGGAGAGGGGCGAGAGGGAGGGGGGAAAGGGGCATGTCATGTCACAGTGGGCGCAGGGGAGGAGGGCGCGTCAGTGGGGCAGGGGAGGAGGGCGCGTCAGTGGGGCAGGGGGAAGAGGCTAGAAGAAGGGCATGTGCGCAGTTGGCAAAGAATCATTGCACCCCTCTTCTAGCCTAAAGCACCACGTGCTGGACCACCACGTGTCTGCGCAGAAAGCAGGGCAGCAGAGAGGAACGAGTTACTCGCACGGACACAAACAGCAGGTGCTTCCTATCTATCCAACAAGCAGCTGCTCCGTAATCAGCCGTTCAGTAATCAGCCGTTCAGTAACCACCTGTCATCCGGTAACCACCGCTGCGCTAAGCACATCTGACAGCCCACCTTTGCCCTCCCCCCTGCCCTCCCCCCTGCCCTTCCCCCCCTCTCTGCCCCCACCTCTGCCCCCCCTCTCTGCCCCCACCTCTGCCTTCCCCTCCCGTCTACCATCCCATCTGCCCTCACTCCTCCTGCACCGCACCTGTCGGGCAGGAAGCCGGTCTCCACAAAAGGGTTCTTGCCGAACTTGCTCATCCTCGCCTTCTTCCGCACCTCCCCTGCTGCCCCCCCGCCGCCCCTGCTCGCCCCGTTCCCTGCTGCTGCCGAGGCATGGAGAGAGGGACGAGAGGGGAAGGGGAGAGAGGGGAGAGGGGAAAGAAGCGGAGAGGGGTTATGGGGAGAAAGTCGAGAGGGGTGAGAGGGGAAAGGAGGGGGAGAGGGGCGAGAGGTGGGAGAGGGGAAAGAAGGGGGAGAGGGGTGAGAGGGGATCGGAGAAGGACAGCATGGTGTGGGAAGTGAGGAGCAATGCAACCACCACACACACAGCGTGCCCTCTTCCACTGCTCCTCCCACACCCACTCACAGCCACTCAAACCCCTCTCGTACCTCTATCCTGTTGCTCCCTCCCCTTCTCCTTCTCCCCATCCCCATCCCCGTCCTCCCCCTCCCCCTCCTCCTCCTCGTCATGCAGGTCGTCCAGGAACGAGAGCTTGGCCGTGGGCGCTGCTGCTCGCCGCCGCCGCCGCTTCTCCATCTGCTTCTCCTCCTCGCTGCGCGTCATGGTGGCATGGCATGGCATGGCGCACATGGGTGGATTCGCACGGTGGGGTGGGGTGGGGTGTGGTGATGGTGACGCAGGATGGGGAGGATGGTGGGGAGACGCGGGCGGGATGGGAGAGGAAGTATGGGCATGTGTGCGTGGTAAGGGAGAAAGCAAGGTTGACATGCAATGTCAAAAGAAGCTCACAGGCGCGCATGGGATGTGAGTTGCTCGCATTCAGGCCATCCATCCCACACCCCCTCCAATCCCTCCCCCTCATTGGCCCACTCACCCCCCCAGCGCCCAGCTCGCTCCCCCCGGCATCCCACTCACAAGCCCCACTCTCCCCCCAGCGGCACTCACTCGTCTGCGTGGCGCTGCTTGGCCTCTCGCTCCTCCTCCTCCATCTTGCTGCGCAGCGTTGCCCTCTGCTCCACGCCGTGCCATGCCATATGAGGAACATGATCAAAAGAAACCAGATCGATTCACAACAATGAGTGGTGCATTGAACGCCCAGCACTCTCATACACACAGCACAGGAGCACGAACACCCCTTCCCACGCACCCTCTGCCTCGTTTCTCCATCCCCTCCCGTCCTCCTACTTTCCACCGTAACCCCCTTGCCTAACAAGTTACCCCCATTTAACCCCCCCGTGCACCCCATGCCTCCCATGCCTCCACATGCCTGCCCTCCCCATTCCCCATGGCCCCCCTAGCCCGTCCCCCTCTCCCCTCCCCCGCGCACCTTCTCAACGAACTGCTCGCGCGTCACCAGCCCCACCGTCTGCTTCTTGAACGCCGTCTCTAGCGTCTGGGGGTGGAGGGGACCGGGGGAAAGGGGGACGGGGAGGGGGAAGGGGAGGGAAGAGGGAGGGAGAGGATAAGGAGAGCGATAGGGGGAGCGGGGCGGAGGGTGCGGGCGGGGGGAAGAGCGGGGGCGAGATGGTGAGGTAAGGTCGGGGCCAAGAAACTTCTCCAGAGAGACACATGCGGAGGGCAGTCGCTGCCGTCTGCGGTGACGTCACTCAACGAAGACAGGCGGTGATGTGCGCAAGAGCCCGCCCACGCAGTGCCATCGGCTAAAGCTCCTCGCGCGCGGCGCGGGCCATCCTTACTCGGGGGCGGGGGCCGCTTGCGGCCACTCCTACGCGCCAGGTGTAGGGATGGCCTCCGTCGCCCCCTGGGTGAATTCGACGGGACGTTTGCGGCGAAGCAAAGCGCTCAGGAGCTTCCGCGTCTCGTCACCGTACTCTGCGACCTCCTACCGCAAACGTCTAAGGCTCGAACTACTTGGTCGCAGCCGCGACACCTAGATTGCATTGGGAGCTCCGAACCAGGGCAGCTAGACGGGTACTGTGGCGGGGGAGCCGTGCGCGGGCGCGCAGCTACGCGCGCACTGCAACGGGAGAGGGCGCGCGCGGAGGGCGCACCTCGGAGGTGGCGGTGCCGAACTGCAGCAGCCCCTGCAGGCCCTGCGACGACTTCTTCCGCAGCTCCTCCATCTTCGCCTGCTCCTCCTCGCGCTGCTTCTCCAGCCGCCGAATCCGCACCGCGTCCGCCGCCGTGCCCACGTATCCATCGCCCATGCCCGCCATGGCTGCTCCTCTCACTCGCTGCTCAAAGCACTGCTCGACAAACTCAATTCTCAACGGGACTCAAAAACAACATGTTATATTTTGTAAAACTCATCTTTGTTTTTTCCGTTGTAGTCTAGTCGGTTAGGATACTCGGCTCTCACCCGAGAGACCCGGGTTCAAGTCCCGGCAACGGAATGTTTTTCTCCGACCCACATCTGGGAGACTTGCAAACCCCGGTTTGAAACCGAGGTTACTGCGTGATACACTTTGCGAGAAGATGCGACACATTTTGCGACGAGGTATCGTTTCCGCAACCTGTGGGTTATGGCACGTGAGTACGGCACGTGTGGTTAGTTCGTTCGTAGAATCGATACAAGTTCGCTGCCCCAAACCCAAACCACTAGAGCTTGGGGGCGTTTTGAAGTCTTGCAGGGGAAATGTGTTATCGAATCCGCCCTGACCTGCAGCATTTCTCATTTCCCCTCGTATCTTTCTGTTTGTCCCTCCTCGACCTTCATCTTTTTGCCACGCGCCAGCAGCTCGCATATTCCCTCGTTGCACGCCACCGATCCCATTGGCCCACCATTCGCCGACCGCACCGACGTTCTTGCCTTCCTTGCAGCGAGCGACGCCTTGCTCCTGAGCTTATCGTCGCGTCGGCGCCACTCGTGCTCGCACACGTGTGTTCTTTCGTTGAATCAAAAGCAGTTCTTGCTTCCTAGGGAATATGTGCCAGAAAGGTCGGCCTCGCTTCGCTAAGCACGCGCCTACCAGCATCTTGCCCGTTCTTCTTTCGCTTAGCACGCGCTTACTGGGAACGCGATTACGCCGTGAATCTTATTACAAGAGCCGAACAGGAAATGGGTGATTCACGAGAAACAATGCCAGGTCTCCTGTCGCTGACTTGCCATGGCAAGTCGCGCAAAGGACGAGACTGTCCACCGCGATGGGGCCGACGTTAGCGCGCCGACCAACGGCTATCCGCCGCCACCTATTCCCTCTCAAACCAGATTGCTCTGGCGGCTCTGCGCTCACTCTCTCCCGCAGCGTCACGGGTTTAGCCTTCACAGTCGCGTATAAGGGCGGTGCTCTTGGCGAGCATGGCGGCAGAGATCCGTATGAAAGCTTGCGGCTGTGTTCTTGACGACCCTTGTATGCGGGAAAGAAAACTTTAGAAAGCTCTGAAGGTGCGACTCGTCAGTGTCACTCCCTTGGAAGCCGCGCTCGACGCGTTGCAATGGCGGTCTTGTTCTCGCACTCGCGACTGGGTCCCGTTGCGCTGGTCCTGACAGTCTTTCTTGTATTTGCAGGTAATCTAATGTACTGTCGTTCGCCCACGGTGCTATACAATCAGTGGCTATCATGCCAGGAATGCACCGTATTCCAAGTCCATCCAGAGGATTTCTATAACTTCCATCTCCAACTCATGCCTTCCTTCCTTCCCCATGCGTCCCGCACTCCACCGCCCTTTCCCCGCCATGCATCTTTCTTTACCTCAACCCCCGAGCCTCACTACCGTGCCTCTCTCCCATGCCTTGTTCCTCCTGCCGGTGCCTCGTTCCCATGCCTCGCTCCCGTGCCTCCACCATTTGCTGCATGTGGCTGTAATCTCGGCAGTGCCATCAATGACCAAGGTATGCACGCGGTGACAGGATGCATGGTGTGAAGCGCCTGAGAATATCGGACTTGACGCGGTGATATCTGACGCGCATGCTCTTGTTCAACCCTCTGGATTCATGGTTCATCTGAAACTATTTGCTGCGTCACGATGCGCTGCTGTTGTTGCCTGCTACCTACCTACTCCTCTCACTCGCACTCACACACACACACACTTTCTTTTCCCGAGCAGGCGAAGCTAGTGGTGGTGGGAGGGGGGGGCGTGAGTCCATGGAGCGAGTGGAGCATGCGGGGGTGGAAGAGGCCTGTGCTGCATGTGGGGGACACTCTTGGTGAGACCTGCCCGCTCTATCCTTTTTCCAGCTGTGGGGAAAGCTTCTTGTTTTCGGGCAAACGGGTTCGCTTTTCAGATTCTGAAATCAGTGCGACTTTTTTGCTGGGCGTATCCTGTGCACATGGCTTGCTGACATGGCATGCTGTCAGGAAGCCATGTGAGGTGTGAGTCCCACATCCCTCAGCTACAAGGGCCTTGAAGTTTCCTTTGGGAAGTTGCTGCTTTTCATCCAATTGTGCATGCCCGTGCCATGCGTGTGCCTGTCCTCTCACCCATACACTCGCTCTGCTTCTGTGTCCCTGTCCGCTTGCCTGCCTGCATGTTTTTGGTCGCGTTCTGCATTGGTATGCCTTTTCTTATTGCCCCCTCTCCCTCACCTGCTGTTGCACACGTGGCAGTGTTCAAGTGATGGGGCTTCCCCAATGACGTTGTGGCTTTTGAGGCGCCTCAAAAGCTGCGTTGTTATGCCTTGTCTGATTGCCCCCCCTCCATCACCTGATGTTGCACGCGTGGCAGTGTTCAAGTGGTGGGGCTTCCCCAATGACGTCGTGGCTGCTCTCAATAAGAAGCAATTCGATACATGCAACTTCACCATTGCCATCATGCTGCACAGCACCACGTGGGTGGGGCGCTACAAGATTGCTGTACCATCAGGCACCACCCGAGTGCTCTTTGCCAGCAGCATGCGTGAAAGGTGCCGCAGGGGACTCAAGTACGACACTGGTACTATTTTGCCCTAATTACAATCACAGCCCACCCACGGGTACCTACATCTGGTACCGTAGTTCAGGACATGATCAAAGGTAGGCCTTTAGAAATGAAGTGGGCATCTTGAAGTGTGTTAGCTTCAAGCTTGCAATAGAGGTGGAACCGCGGAACAGGAAAGGTTGGACAAATAAAAATTCCATTCATGTATACCGCCCTCGGATAAGCCCCCCTACATCATCAAAAACATATACCGTATGCTACCCGGGTTCCTCCATCCTTCCTATGGAATACAGTATTGTATAATTTAGCAGAATTGAATGCAAACAAGTTCTGTGTTTCCTTTCCTGATGTAATTGTAGTTCAAATCAGGGACGTAATTGGGTATAAGCCGATTACTTGGTTTACTGGTGCTCTCTCAGGCACTACTTGTAATCACACATTCGATATTGCATTCATGTTATAGGTGCAATGAATCGAAGTAGTGAAAATTGCACTAAGCTGTCAAATGAGTACAAAGTACCGTATGAGCTAAGGCATGAGCGAATACTTATGTACGAACATGCAAACGGTAACGCGATGCGTGCGAGCTAGCTAGTGCGATGCTGGCATCGAGGTTTGGGCTAGTCCCGAAGCGTAGGCCGACACGGCCGGGCCAGCAATGCATGGTTTGGTGAATAGTGCGTGCGAAGGTTGGCGAAGCCCCGTTATCAGTAACGGGCGAACAACGGCTAATGCTGCACGCGGTGTTGACGTACGCAGTAAGGAATGCCTAAAAATTCCTTACATTACCCCCCGCCCCCCCCCCCCCCCCCTCAAGAAGCCCCCTCCGCTACGCGAGTGCGTGTATATCGCGAAAACCCCTGCTCCTCAGGTACACTTGCAGGGCAGGGTGGTTTTCAACGTTGGCCAGGGGCACCCAGCTGCCTTCCGTTGGGGTGCGGTCCTTCCAGCGAACGAGGAACTCGATCCTCTTGATTCCCGTGGGGTGGCGAATTCGATGGCTCAAAAACTTCTCGGGCCCGACGATCGGCTCCGATGCAGGGCGAGTCATGGATGGTGGGCAATGGCGTGGTAGCTGGCTTGTGGTTGGGATATACGGGCGAAGCAGGCTGACGTGGAAAGATGGGCGGTAACTGGGGTGATCATGTGGCTGATTTGGAATGGTCCACAGTAGCGCGGTTGACGTGTTGGCACGACGGGCAGTCTTAAGTTCTGTGTATCGAGTCGTACGTAATCCCCTGACTGGTACGTTACTGGGCGACGGCGGTGGTCAGCGTTTCGTTTCGCGATGATGTTGGTTTTTTTTATTGCGTCTACTGCTCGCGTTCGGGCAGCTTGCAGGATCTCGGCGAATTGTTGTGCGCGTGGCATTGGGTTGTCTGGGCTCGGCGTCAAGGGCACTATTGGGTTTTGCCCGTAGTTCAGGTAAAACGGAGACTGTTGCGTCGTCGCTGACGTGGCGTTGTTGTAGGCGAACTCGATCAGCGGTAGCTGGTGCTCCCATGTTGTCGGGTCGTCGACGTGGCACGAATGAGCTGCTCCATGGTCTAGTTCGTTCGCCCCGTCTGACCGTCATTCTCGGGGTGGTATGACGAACCGAACTGTAGCCGGGTCCCTAACTGCTCCCAGAGGTTCTTCCGGAAGTTGCTTGTAAATTTCGTGACGCGGTCGCTGATTATCGCGGCTGGTATCCCGTGCAGTCGAACGACGATCGCGATAAACAGGCGAGCGGTTTCTTCGGCTGAGATTTATTTCCTGCACGCAGCGAAGTGAGCCAGTTTCGGCAGTCTGTCAACGACGACCGTAACCGCTGTTAAGACTAAGTCAAAGGAATGATGAGATTAGGTCAAGGTTGGGGTACAAGACTAGAGTGTCGAGGAAGTTTCTGTACCCCCTAAGGCTAGCCCCAATATAGCCTAGATAATGATATGCATATGTTTTGACACACCCCCATTGGCGAAATGGGGGATAGCCAGAGCAAGCAACGGTCACAAGACCAGTCAAGAGAAGAAGCAAAACACAGCTCAGGGTGGATCACAACGTCACCACACACACTGAGCACAAGCAAACGGCCACAAGGCCAGTCCATATGCAGAGGTATATAAGCAACAAGAACAGTACAGTGATCTCTAGCTAGCAAGAGCAAGCATGCAGGTATATATATAGATCACAGTACAGGCAAAGACTACAGCAAGTGTGGAAACGTAGGCACAAGGCCTAACAATGTACAGAAACGCTGATGATCACCAGGCGGAAGCGCCTTGGTGAATATATCAGAGGTGTTGGCCCTAGTGGCCACGTAAGCAAGACGAAGCTGACCACGCTGCTGTAGCTCTCGAGCAAGGAAGTAACGCAGCGC